TTTTTTTGTTTAATCTGTTCTGGGAATTCAATTACCAGTATTAATCCATGGTTAATGGCTTAGTCTGTTTGAGATTTTTTTAATTAAAGATTTTAAATACAATAGTATTTAGTAAAGTATAATAAATAGTAAATGTAAATTAAACTCAAAAAGAAAAAATAAAAAGTGCAAAGAAAACTAGAAAAAAGGAAATAGAATAATGAAAAAACACCTGAAGAAATGACTTCTAATCTTAAACAAGTTTTTTAAAAAGATAATTTGTCACCCCTATAAAGTTACAAACACCTATTTCTTCTCCCCATATTCCATCCCTTCTATACGCAAAATCATCAACTTTTCAGCCCCAGTTTCAGCAAAAAGTTTGTAAAGGGTGTATTCCTCTCTTTTACTTCTAGTAGTCTTGATTCATTCAGATAGTGATTTTTTTCCCATCACAAAGATTCCCAAGGCTTTAATATGCCTCTTTAGTGTAAAGTCATTAGTGAAAAATCTTGGTTTGTCTTTTGTCTTTTCCCTTTGATTTTCAAAGCGTTAACGAACTTTTTTTGTTTATCCAATAAAAACTGCTTATCAGGATCCTTCTCTTGGTTCTTCTCTACCTTGTAATCCACATTTTTTCCTTGTCATGTTTTATTTCCAATTGAATGCCTTATTTATTTTGTAACCTCCACTTTTTTTAAATCTATATTTCTGATCCCATTATTTTTGCATTAAGCAATTTTTTTACATCTATTATTTGTTAACATCTTTTAGACAGTCTGTCCATAGAATAACACATTGTTACTGATATTGTCACCAGGAGACTTCAAATTTGTCGTTCTGAATAGTCTTAATATATTTAAATAAGTAATTATTGGACATTGGTTTTAGATTTAGATTTTTTTAAAATCCTGCCTTCATTATTTTCCTCAAAATGTGAACTCATATAAATTTGACTTGTGAGTCATTTGGCCTTTTGTGATCTTGTTTCTGCTTGCTTAACAGACTGAGTAATTTTCAGATTCCTGCTACTATACCTTTGTATCCAGCTTTTCTTCCATGGTGAAAGAATGTTATTATAAATGTTATCCAAGCATTGCTTAGTTTATGCAATGGAAATATAAGATGAAAGCTGCCTTCTATATTTCTGTTGTTCCTTGTGTGTGTATAGCATGAATCCTTGTCATTTCACAGCTTAACCATAGCTGAAACATGGCTAGCTTATAAAATATGCCCTACATGTTCAGCACCCTCACCTTCATACGGATCAACTTATATTATTTAGGATAATAATAGTAATAGAAAACAGCAGCGATCAAGAGCATTAAGGTTGGCATATCTAAAATAAAGGAATGGTGTAGCAAATGAAAAGACTTGAACAAATAAATAATACTACATGTTGGAAAAGGGAGTGGAATTGAGTGGTACTTATTAGTTTGATTTTTTAAAAAATCACAAGGATTTGATGAATAAAGCTGGTGCAGTTACAATGGGTTATAAACTGTCTTGTACTTGTACAAGTTGACAAAAACAAAGATTGCATAACCTAACTTTTTTTGGTTGTTTTTTCTCCCCTTGCATTGTTTGCTTTTGTAGAGTGTCTAGTTAGCCAAATGACTTGTGTGCTGGCATGCTTAGCCAAATAAGCTAAAAACAATAGTGGCTGCATTCACATAGTATGTTAAACTTCATTAATTTTAATTGTCTTTTTTTTTTTTGTTGGCTTGGCATATTGAGCCCAGTCTCATTAGTTTCTGGTTCTGTGGATAATATGATTTCAGAAAATTAGAGAAACCCAACCAGAGTGCCATCCAATGAATGATTTCTGACTTGTTGCTGTTAAATTAGCCTGGGGATTGTTAATAAGAGTTTATCTTGTTTTAGTAGTCCAAGATGGTTTGGGAAAGACAAATCAGGACCCCTGTTTAAAGTGCTGTGGTAGAATCAACTAATTCTACCACTCTTTGCTGGCTGGGAAAATTGTGTGAGTTAAAAGCCACAAGTCTTAAAGTTGTCAAGGTTGAAAAACACTGCGCTATAGTGTTCATTGGCACAGCTTCCAGGAAAACATGTCCCAGACTATATCTGCAGCCCCTGAATTTCATATGGTGAGAGAATCAAACTCATTGTCACCATGATTAAAAAAAAAATGTTGAGATTCTAGAAAGAGTGCAGAGAAGAGCAACAAAGATGATTAAAGGATCTGACGGTTATCTTGTTATAAACAGTTGGGGAATGAGATATGTCTAGTCTAACAAAGTGAAGGACTTGGGGTGACATGAATAACTTCCAGTACTTGAAGGACTGTCACAGAGAAGAGGGGATCTACCTATTCTCCAAAGCACCCAGAGAGAAGTAGTAAGTAAAAAGTAAAAAGAGAGCCAAGTTAGAACTGAGAAATTTTCTGGCAATGAGAACAGTTAATCATCTCCAGAAGTTGTAGATGCTCCATCTCTGGAGGTTTTTAAGAAGAGATTGGAGAGCAGTTTGTCCAGAAAGGTTTAGAGCAGTGTTTCTCAACCTTGGTAGCTTGAAGATGGGTGGACTTCAAACTCCCAGAATCCCCCAGCCAGCGCTGCTGGCTGGGGGATTCTGGGAGTTGAGTCCACCCATCTTCAAGCTACCAAGGTTGAGAAACACTGGTTTAGAGTTTCCAGTTTGAGCAGGGGGTTGGACTAAAAAACATCCAAAGTTTTCCAATCGTTTCCAACCCTGTTATTGCGTGTTCTATTCTTTAATGGTTTCTATAGAAAATGGTTTCTATTCAGCAAAGCTCAATTCTTTACCAGTATGCTCTGCATTGTAATTTATTTTCATAGGTGAAGCATATACCATCGGCATACAAAGGATTTTTTTTTTATATTGAACATTTGTTTCTACTTTATGGGATTTTTATGCATTTTGTTCTATTTTCATATTTCAATTTTGGATTGCTGAAAATAGAACAAACTCTGTTTAGCATGAATATTCTCTTTAATTATTAGAGGATTGTATTCTTTGAGATGATTTGAAAGAATTGTGTTGGAACGTAATATCTCCCTGATACTAATTAAAGCAGCTGCGTGTTTTTCAGGTTCAAATGGAAAAACTCCCGGGCTGTTTTAATTAGGAATGGAAAAATGCTATGCTCATGAAACTTCCAAAGCACTTTTCCCAAATCATTTCAAAGAGTGCCCAACTCTTTGAACATGTACAACCCCAATAGTTATATATTTTCTTGTAATAATTTGTAATAAAATTGCTTTATATTCTGAACTTCATTTTGAACTTCTTTTGGGAACAGTAGTTTTTAAACAATCCTGTTGTCTCAGACATTTTAGATTTATAATTATAAATGTATAATTTAAACAATTTCAGATAAACTATGACTATGAAACAGAATAAATTTAACAAATCAATCAATCAATCTACTCTTCCAGTAGGGAGTTTGAATGGTTTATAGAAGAGCTCCCTCCAAAGGGATTTCATTCTTTCAGGGAGAAGCAGAGGCAATGACAAAAAATATTTAAACTCCTTGCAACATTACTTCTTTCAATGTTTTGTAAACACAAGTCATAGACTAACAAAGACAATGTTTGTCTTAGTTGATACTTTTCTTCCAGGTAGAACTGTTGAAAGCTCTGGTAGTTTAAATTGCTTTGTTAAATAAATACATAACTATCTCTAGAATGGTTTACAAGAACTCATATTGTAAAAGCATTTTCTCAAATGACATGATGGCTGGTTTTATCTGTTAACCTCTTGTGATTATTAGAATTTTCTGAAAGCTCAGTGAAGTTTAATATATTGAAATATAGCCTTTGAAACCATGAGCAGAATATCCCTTACGTTATTTATTACGGTATTTGCTTGTTACCATGCATCAGTGATATTAACAGCTGAAATCATCAGTAAGTGGGAATATGTACAAGTTCTATTATGTGTAGGTGTATGAAAGTGGTGGTTGTGGTTGATTGTGTTGCGTCTGAAAATGATGACATTTGTCTTATGAATCATTCCAAGAACCCCAGAGTAATGTTCACCTTTTCTTTAATTTCTTTATTTTTCATTAATGACTGGCACAGATAGAGGGATGAAAATGTCACTAGCTAGCAGGTGCAAGGGATCTTTATAAGAAGCATAGCTGCAACTCTGGACACAACACAAAACTGAGAGTGTTTACTGTGGATAGTGAAAATATTTCAGGAGACAAATTCCTTGTGTGTCCAATCACATTTGGCCAATAAAGAATGCTCTATTCTATTCTATTCTATTCTATTCTCTATTCTATTCTTTTCTATTTTTTATTATTTTATTTTCTATTCTATCCTTCCCTATCTCTATCCCATTTCTCCAAGTGAGATTCTTAAAGAAATTGACCACAACAAGCAGTGGAGTTTCTGGTTTATACCAATTCACATCTGATTTTACTATTATTTTCTGAATCTTTTTAGCAGATGGATACTGTTTTTGCAGTTGTGCTTCTCATGAATTAAATTGAAAAATATTTCTGCTGGCAAAACAAATACAAATTGGATTAAATCAGTTACTAGTAGGACTGCAATCTAGTAGGACTGGTACTGGGAGTCTAAATATTTTCATGGTTAACTACTTTAGAAAAGTAGTTTGGATTAGATCATGGTTATAAAAGAGGAGAAGGGAGGCTAATTAATATTCCTACTCTAATCAAGGCAGCTGTGTGTTCTTTAGCAGCAATCGGTCGTTCTTACTACTTTTGCAATGCAAAAGATGACCTAATATTGCCTTGTTTCAGGATGGTGGGTTTTTTTTAAAACTTTTCAGTTTAAGCTACAGCCTTGGAATTTTATGATGATCTTCCATTTATTACTAACCAGTTCTCACTGCTTAGCTTTTAGGAAATCAGCTAAGGTTAGCTGGGTCTATCTGTTGCAGATGGAAATTAGTGCAGTATTTGTGCAAATGTAATGGAGGGCATAATTCTGGATGTTTTTCTTTGCACCAATATCACTAAAACAGGTTCAGTGTCCATCTCTAAGTTGTACTCTTGTTTTATTTGGCAGGAACCGTTGGGGCTCAGCCCCTACTCATGGTGCCCCGACGACCTGGCTATGGCACCATGGGAAAGCCTATTAAACTGCTGGCCAACTGCTTCCAAGTTGAAATCCCAAAGATTGACGTCTACCTCTATGAGGTGGATATTAAGCCAGATAAGTGTCCTAGGAGAGTGAACAGGTAAGTTATAATGGACAATATTATTTTAGCTTGCTAATATTGATTAGCTGCTAAAGTGAGATGCTTTCAATAGCTAGTGCTGGTCAGCGCTCCTGTTTGAGGAGAAAATATTTCATTTGATAGTCTGTTTATTTTTAAAAAAATAGCTGATACTGCGAGCATATTATTTATTCTCAGATTGAGGAGTAAATTTGTAAGTTGAACATACATTGTTTTACATAGACACCCACATACCGGGAAGAAATTAAAATTCATTTGTAAAAATGGCATATGTCTTTAACAGTGACAGAGCAAGTAGAATGTAACAAAAGTGAGTAATTTCTTTGTTTTTAAGAGTCATTAGCACTTTAAGTAATTTGGGAGTAAGTAGGATTCACACTGAAATTAAACACAACTGTTTGAAAGTTAGCATTCATCATGAATTTGGTTTAGTCTCTATAGAGGGCACTCTTTTTTTTTTTTTTTTACTGAAATTATACTGTGAGCTTCCAAGAAAGGTCATGTTTTCATGGTAGCGCTATTAGAGCAACATATATTTGCTTTACTGGATGATTCAAATTTCTGGGTAATAAACTTTTGAGTGTTATGGCTCAGTAAAAATGCTTGTTAATGTATTAATCAGAACACAAAGTCAACCAGTTGCAGATTAGATTTGAATAGGCTGAAAGCTCTGCTGAATCAGGCCCAGGGTATATCTAAACTGGTATTCTGTTTCCACAGGGGTCATAGAGATGTCTCTGAGAAGCCCAAAACAGAACATAAGAGAATAGTAATCTCAAAACCTTATTTTTCAGCAACTGGCTTTGAGAGGCAAACTACCACAGTTACTAGCAATGCTATACAGCAATCATCTTGATTAAAGGTCTTGAACTAAAGGTCTTTGCATCCAATGAAACTGTACAGATTGGTAGGTGTTACTGAGTCCTGTAATAGCAAATGTCAGTGCTCAACCATATACAGTTAAAAACAATCCCTGTCTTCAGCCAATTATCTTCTGCCTCCTTGTACAACTTATTCAATTTTATACATGAACTTTCCATTCACTTTCACCGTGCTATCCATGATTCCAATCTGACTATTTTCTGTACCAAAGAAAACCAACCATTTGGACAATTTTGTTGTTCACCTTTCTGCATCTTCTGCGATCTTACAGTTTCATTTAAGATGTAATAAAATTAAGCACAGTGTTCTATAAGCAATTCTAGTTCTAGATTTATATTTGATTAAACACTTCATTAGTATTAACTGGAAACTATAAACATGGTTAACTTTTCATGTATTGAAGGTTTTGAACTCATGGACAAGAACTCTGTCTCTTGATTTGTAAATGATGGAAATATGGCAGATAATTAACTGTAGCTTGACTTCAAGAAAATAGAATTTTGAAGTCCTTTGACTGTCCTATTCAGTTTTAATACCAGATGTGTATGTTGTTATTCCTATAGAGGGTTTGTGTAATTTGTCCACTAGGCAAGTAATTTAGTTTGGGTAAATTAAAAGGAATTCAGACTATTTTTTGGTTCTGCAATATCCATATGATGTGAAATCATAGTCTTGTAGCTGACTGACTTCATACTTGCTCAGGAGTTTCATCAGCTATTGTTTATATGCCATGCAGTAAGTATCCTTCACTAGATTTTCCTTTATTTTTGCTGTAATATTTATCTGTGTTGTTTAAACACTTGTCTTTAAGAGATAATGTAAATATGTGTTTTGTGACTTCTGTGAATTTGGTATGTCAAAGAAAAATTGATAGACCTGTGTTTAGATCCTAGGATCTTAGTCCATTGAGGCCTGTTAATTTTAAGCAATGGTGTTGCTATATAATTATTACAAAGAATATAATTTTAGTTATAAAAGATATGTATAGATAAGTAACATTTTAAAGTTTTATATAAAAGGGCTCTTTGCAATATTAAACTCTATGTACTCCACATAGCTATGATATAAAATATTTATATTGTTAGATTTATATTCACTTTCTATTCAAGACTGACCCCTCTCCCTCCATTTTTCCCACCACAGTTCTTGAGATTATACAACAGATTAATGATTTGTTTAGCATATCTTGATGTTTCAAGGTGAATAATATTAAACTCAAAACCCTGTTTGCTGTTCCATAATGACTTAGAACAGTGATGGCTAACCTTTTTGCCATCGCGTGCCAGGAGGGGGGGGCGGGGGAGGGTCGCGCACCCACGCGCATGCGTGCACAACCCCCTCCCCCTCCCCCCCGGCACATGATGGCCTGGTAGGCCCGTTTTTCTTTCTTACTTGGTACCTCTACGGAGGCTGAAAGGGCCCATTTCCCAACTCTCGGTGGGACAGGAAGTGACGTTTTTTGCTGTCCCCCAGCCTCCAGAACCTCTCTAGGAGTCTGTAGGAGCCACCCTAGGAGTCTGTAGGAGCCTCTCTAGGAGTCTCTGGAGGCTGGGGACAGGAAAAAACATCACTTCCTGTCCCATCGGGAAATGGGCCCTTTCAGCCTCCGTAGGGCCTCCAAGGGAGTGGGAAAGGCTGTTTTCGCCCTTCCCAGATCCATAGAAAGGATCTGGAGCCAGGTAAGAAAGAAAAATGGGCTTCCCCACCCCCCCAGGCCCTCCAGAGGCAGGAAACAGCCTGTTTCCCTACTTTTGGTGGGCCCAGAAGGCCCGAAAATCAGCTGGCCGGTGCGTGCATGCGCCCCAGAGCTGAGCTGGCATGCCCACTAATATGGCTCCGCATGCCACCTGTGGCACGCGTGCCATAGGTTCGCCATCACGGACTTAGAATATTCCCCTTTCAAAAGCTGTAGACTAGTTATCATCAATACCTTAGAACCTGGAGAGATTCAGAGAGCACTTAATCTCAAGTGATTTTGAAAAATAGTGCAATAATTACAAAAGTTGGCCCGAATCTATCACAAAGCAATCTACCTGTGTGTTAGAGAAAAATTATCACAGTAAGGGTTCTTCAGCTGTAGAACCAATTACCAAGATTGTTGGTGAGCTCCTCCTGGATAGCTTTCTGATAGGGATGCTTTAATTTGAATTCTTGCTGTGAGCTAGAAGTTGGACTTTCCACCCCTGTAATTCTCTAAGCTCCTGAGAAACCATACTTTGCATCACCTAGTGTCAATAATTGAAAACATTCAAGGAATGTCATCTCTGGAGAACCTTAAAAAAGCTACAGGCTTGAGTGAAAAAAGGCAGAATGTATAGAAATATGGGAACCAACAGAACTTTCTCTAGTTTAGAGGTTTTAGATCCAATTTTCTGTTGCTGAAGTGAAGGTAGCATTAAATACCTTTTTAAACGTGCTTTGTTAATTTCAAAATTAATAGTTTTCAAAGATGTTTCAGAAGCATCAAATGGTCCACATTGCTATAGTCTAGCTCAGTGATGGCTAACCTTTTTGCCATCGCATGCCAAAAGCGGGGGGAGCGCACGGAGGGGGGGTTGCTCGTGTGTGTGCCCACACCCATAATTCAATGTGCCCCGCGCATGCGTGCACGACCCCCCATGCTCCCCCCGCTTTTGGCATGTGATGGCCTGGTGGGCCCGGTAGGCCTGTCTTTTTGCCCTCCCCAGGCTCCAGAGGCTTTCTTGGAGCCTTGAGAGGGCGAAAAGGGCCATCTCCACTCCCCCTGGTGGCCCTCCGGAGGCTGGAAATGGCCCGTTTCCTGATTTCCGGTGGGCCCGGAGGGCCTCCGGGGGGATGAGGAAGGCTGTTTTCGCCCTCCCCAGGCTCTTAGAAAGCCTCTGGGGAGAGCAAAAAACAGGCCTTCTGGTCCCACCAGAAGTTGGGAAACAGGCCATTTCCAGCCTTGTGGTGGCGGGGGGACGCCGTTTTTGCCCTCCTCAGACAAAGCAGCCCATTTCCCGACTTCCGGTGGGCCTAGGAGACCTGAAAATCAGCTGGCCGGTGCGTGCATGCACACTGGAGCTGAGCCAGGGCAATGCTCGCATGCCCACAGATATGGCTCCGCGTGCCACAGGTCCGCCATCACAGGTCTAGCTAAATCAGGGGTCAGCAACCTGTGGCTCTAGAGCTGCATGTGGCTCTTTCACCCCTCCGCTGCGGCTCCCTGTCACTCAAAATATGCATCACAACTGCCAATGTGCGACACCCGCCGGCACGTGATTTATTGTGCTTTTCAACCACCATGGATAAATCCAAGAAAAAAAAAGTTTCAGAAGAAAACAGAACGTTTAATTCAACTACATATGCTAGTTTTGTGGCCACTCAAGAAATAGTCAGGCATGGGAAGGGTTTTTTGGCTCCCGGTGTTTTCATTTCTGTGGGAAAGGGTCCAAATGGCTCTTTGAGTGTTTAAGATTGCAGACCCCTGAGCTAAATAGAATCCGCTGCAAGTGTTTTGCTTGTATTAACACCTTCATTAACTTCCAGTTTGTTTCAAATGCCAATTGGCAAGTCTCTCTCTTTTTTTTTTTTTTTAAAAAGACATTTGATTTTCAAGCTTCATCAATAAGGCACTTTTCTAAAGAAAATGGCATGTTGGCTTATACATTTTTAAAAGTTGGTAAATGGCTTTTGAGGTTGTTGTCATAGAAAGAGAATTATAAATTCAGACATTTAAATTTGCTGACATGCAAAGATGTTCATCACTGTCTTTCAAGGATGAACAAGGGGGTTGCCATTCCTTTATAACAGGTGTCTCCAAACGTCGCCACTTTAAGACTTGTGGCTGGGGAAGACCCCTGCTTTATAATAGCTGTTAAACCTCAGAAGAATGTGCTCCATAAATGATGTGGCAGCAGGGTGGATTTGATTTAAATCAAGTTGATTTAAATCACAATTTAAATCATGATTTAAATCACTAGTAAAAAGGCTTGATTTAAATCAACTCAATTTAATCATAATTTTTAAAGAGCAACTGTCATCTCTGCTACTCCTCTGACCCGTTGTTGACTCACCGATAGTCCCAGTGTTGCAGAATATACAGCCTCATGCTACATAACTAAGCTCCATTTCATGCTGAATAAACTAAATTATTTATGTATCTTAAATAGAAAACTATCTTACGATTGATTTTTACCCCAAAAGTTTTTTATTAAAATAAATTCGATAAAAATAAAAAAAATCCGATTTAAATAAAAAAAATCTGATTTTTTTTATTTTTTTAAAAAAGAATCATTGATTTTTATCCACCCTGTGTGGCAGAACAGGAGCCTCCTAGAATCACCTTGAAGTATTTAATAGCCAAACATGAATGGAATTAATGGAGTCATATTACCTAATCCTAAAATGCAGTGTTTGATATAAATCTGAAAAGGTGGAACAGGTTCCCTGCTTCTTTTATATGTCTATTTATGACGTGGGGTACCATCAAAGACCTATTACCTTTGATCCCTCCCCTCCCCCATCTGAGTAGATTGAAGTGGGATCAAAACACTAGTTTTATTTGGAAGTCTGATCTGTTTTGTTCTGATGTGTTAATTGCATGTCAATAAAATTCACAGCATTACAATTGCCTTTCCTTCTGACAGGTTTATTTTAAAATTTTGTTTAAAATACTTTAAAAATAGATTTGTTTTTTTTTTTTAAAAATCAATACAGTCTGAAAGCTGTACCAGAATTCAAAGCACAAAACAGCAATTTTAATGTGGAAGGGAAGGAATAAATGATCGGATCAGGGTGAAGATAGTTTCTAATCTACCCACACTGAAAAAATATAAAGTTTGTGGTTTAGAGGAAACCAGTCAGCTGATTGGACATAACCAATAAGACATTGGTTATAAGACATAAAAGTTTATGTAAATAACCACTTTGCATGAAGGAATTCAAAGTTAGAAAACACAGAGATACTTGTCACTTGTAAGGCTTGTCACATGCTACAAGTTATTTTTATTTATTATTTTTACTGTATTTTGTCTTTTCAAACTAAAAAGCTATATAAGGGTACTGAGAATATACCTGTAAGCGTCTTCCATCTCCCTTGTGTGGTGATCCAATTGTATTATTATTATTATTATTATTATTATTATTATTATTATTATTATTATTATTATTATTATTGATATAGTATAGCTTCCCACTGTTTAATAATTACATTTAATGAGCTTTTATTTTTTCTCTCTGAATGCCATACAATTTAAATGTGCAAATATACTTTTTTCCCTCTTTCATTTTCCTAGGGAGGTAGTAGATTCAATGGTGCAGCATTTTAAAGTGACCATATTTGGTGACCGTAGACCAGTTTATGATGGTAAAAGAAGCCTTTATACAGCCAATCCACTCCCTGTAGCAACAACTGGGGTAAGATAAGTTACATGGTTTCCTTATTTGTGACAGATCTAAAGCTACAAGAAACTGCTTCACTGTTATTTTCAATTGCTTGTTATATATTTCAGTTACTTCCGTATACATGGGGATTTTATTCATTTATTTAACTTGACATTGGTGATATATGCCAATAATTTGACTGACAACCAGCAATTTCAGCCACCAATTTCAGCAAATTGATAACAGTTTACAACAAAAGCATAAAAAAGGGTAAGAAACAATTAAAAAATGAGGACAACAGAACTATTTACAGAGTATTACTAATTCATTTTAAAACATAAAAATTACATATTTAAAACATTTGGCAAAGAAGCATAATCAAGACAGAGAGAAAGAGGAAGGAAGGAAGGCCTTTACTAGGAATTAACAATCTTTCTCTGGATACTGAGAGTGACAGCAGAAGGATTTGAGAGTAGAGAAGAGGCAGACATAATGGGACTGTTGAACAAGTGCAATTAAGTGGATTTGTCATCGTCCGCATCATTATCATTTAAAGGCATATAGCAGACAGGGTCAGGCCCAAGCCCAAAGACAACATTGTGAAATCAATCAAATCCAGTCCTTTATTTGCTTGCACTTAATGGACAGAATCTGCCAGACTAAAGCTATAATCTTCTAACCTACTAGATATATAGAGAGATTTTAAGAGGTGGCTACCCCAAACCTCTTCCTTCCTTCCCCATCCAGCTAGAGACTGCACAGTCTCTTATTTTGGGCTTTTCTCTGGAATGTGCTGCCTCCTCCCTGGGGATGCTTGGTGTGGCCAAGATCATCCCCCCCTCCCCCCTTCAGCTTCTCCAGGTGCACATTCCCTCACAGGGCAATGTAGTATAAAAATGTTTGATTTGAAGTGAGGAGATCCAGATTCTAGTCCATCTTCAACCAGAGAAGTTCACTAGGTGACTCAGACAGTACCTTTTTGTCGGCCCAACCAGTCTCACAGACCTGTTTTTCTGGGGAAAATAAGGCAGTACTACACAACTCAATTGAACTCCTGTTACAAAAGGTAGGATCCAAATGAAATAAATAAATAAATATATGTTGGTTAGGCTCAAGGTGTCTTACTTTAAAAACTTACCAAGAATGGTTAAAATGCAAAATGTATAAAAATGAAATGATGCTGTGGGAAAGCAGATAGAAAGCCAGTTCAGCCGTTCCCTCATTAGTTATCCCTTGGTGAAATCACAAAACATTAAAACGTGGCTTGTTTGAAAAGACAGGTTTTCAGTGCCTTTTCTGAATGCCACAAGGAAGGGTCACCCAGACCTCTTGGGAAATGATATTCCAGAAGTATCCACAGACTTAAATTTTAGTACATAACATTTGGATAGGCTTCAATGAGTCGTCAATCCACTTCCTGGCAAAAGTGTACTTTTTGACATATCAAGTGGGGACTGTACACATGTTTCTGGAAGAAATGCTGAGTTTTTAAGGTTTGCTAGGGGATGTAGTTCTTAATTTCAGGGTGGATCCTGACATATTGGTATGAACATACACGGGTAATCCTTGTCTAATGACCTTAACTGGAACCAGAATTGAAGTCAAACAGTTGTTAAGCAAAACACCATGTCACTGTGCCATTTTGCAACAGCAGTTCTGGCAGTCCTGATTGTGATTGTTAGGCAAGGACCTCATGCTTCTCCTGCCCTGCATGAATTGCCTCTGCTTCAAATTCCCCCACCCACCTACCTCCCACTATCTCTGCCCTTTTGACTGCCCTTCACTCCACTGCCTACCCCCACCCAGCTGACTTTCGCCAACATCTTTTTATTCCTGTTACTGGTCAGGGATCCAGGAACTGGATGAGAGCATAGCCCCAGGATGTGTATGGCAGGATGGCAAAGCCTTGCCCAGAGACTAGATCCCAGGCCACCAATGGGGGTAGGTAGTAGGAATAGGCATCTCAGTATAGAACAGTCAAAAGGGCAGAGATGGAGGGGATAGGCGTGTGGGGGAGTTAAGCACAGGCCATTTGCAGAAGGCAGGATAATTCAAGGAAGCATTGAGGAGTCATTGCCTAAAGCCCCAACATCCAAATCAGAGGTTTCAGCAGGTTCTGACCAGTTCTGGAGAACTGGTAGCGGAAATTTTGAGTAGTTCGGAGAACCGGTAAATACCACCTCTGACTGGCCCCGCCCCCATCTATTGTCTACCTCCCAAGTCCCAGCTGATTTTGCAGTAACCTTCCCCTGGATTGGGGAGGGAATGGAGATTTTACAGTAACCTTCCCTTGCCACGCCCACCAAGCCATGCCACGCCCACCAAGCTACACCCACAGAACCGGTAGTAAAAAAATTTGAAACCACCACTGATCCAAATGTCTGCATTTTTGCTCCAAATTAATTATTTTAATCAGCAAATAGGAACAATATGGATGGACTCTCTTACTCTACAGTGTCTCTTGGACCATCCTTCTGCATGCTGAACTCCCTTTAAAAGCACAGAATATGAAATTATGAAATGCTGATGCATATTTCATGTAGTATTTTGTGTGAATGCAAAATACTGGAAGGGATACTTTTGTCTGCTGATGTGGCAAACCTGATCCTGACAATGTTTTTCAGATGTTCTAACTTCAAAATGGTTTATACTCTTATGTAATCTTAAGTAATCTTTTAAAACAGCTTTCTCAGGCTACAGTGCGAAATTTGAAGAAAACCACCATGGGGCATAGTTTATTTATTTAGTAGATTTTTGAAGCTGCCCAGCTCAGTGTGATTCTAGGTAGTGTATAATAACAAAGGGAATTAACCCCCCTAAAATTGCTCCAGAGAATAGGAGCAGCTGTTGAAAAGGCTTTAAATTTCTATTTAGCACCTGTAGCAATAGGTGCCCACTGAGAACAGTTCTAAATCTGTACTATGAATGGTTTGATATTTATTTATTTATTTAGAAAATTTGTATAGCTTCACATATCACAAACCTGACACTGGATGGTGTGCAATAAAACAGTTAAAAATATAAATGACTATCATAAATTAATTAAACATTAATAAACATAAATTAAACTGCTCTGGATATCACAATTCTACCTTACTTAAACCTATACAATCTTTTCAACATTTGCCATAGTAAATAAGGCTACCTTTTTGTAAGGATAAATTCAATAAGTTCAATGATGTGCAAATACAGATATATTTGAATTTTTTTTCAAATATGTTGCTTGGTTACAATAGGATCCCAGATTCCTAAGTTCAAATAATGTTTTAAATATTTCCTTTCCATATTTGAATTTAACTTGCTGCAGTTTCCTAGTCTTCAATATAGTTGTCTGGAATTTCTTCCCTCAATAGACATAGATTTAGAAGCTAGGGAATTAAAGTTGCCTTAAATCATGTAATTGAAATTGATTAGCAAAGAAATGAAATTAAAATTTGTATGCAAATCTCTTGACTTTTCACACTGAGCTTGAAAACTTTTTTTACTTCCTCTTCCATGGCTTTTTCTCCCAATAGGTTGATTTGGATGTAACATTGCCAGGAGAAGGTGGCAAAGATCGTCCCTTCAAGGTGTCCATAAAATTTGTTTCCCGGGTAAGCTGGCACCTATTGCATGAAGTTCTGACTGGACGAACCTTACCTGAGCCTCTGGAATTGGACAAGCCAATCAGCACTAATCCTGTTCATGCTGTTGATGTGGTGCTACGACATTTACCCTCCATGAAGTAGGTTTCCTAATGTGCTCTGTGCCATTTATTTCCAGAGTTAATTTTTTGTGGAGTTTTGCTTTTAGATTTGCATGCAAAGGTTTGGGAGATGAGGAAAACATGCATTTTGCATTAGCGAGATCACTGAAAGTTTCTCAGTTCTGTTGAGCAGATTAGTTCTGGTAGAAATGAATAGGAAAATTCTTGAATCATTGGAAAGATTTTCCACAAGGATGTCATTAAGTGAAGATCAAAGGCAATGGGAGACTTGTGAATTTGACAAGTGACAGATAATAAAACAAAGTGACAGACACTGAAGCAGGAGAAATGCCAGCTGGGTTGTTTGTCTTGTATATTAGGGCCGTATCTTGGAATTACAAAATCTGTGTTTTTAAAACAATTTTATATGAAGATATACTTTTCAGGAAGCGGTTGTTTATAATGGGAACTGGTCGTTGAAAGTTGAAAATTTGAAAATAAATCTATTTTACACACTTACCTGTTTAACTTCAGTTCAGTGCCTTCAAGATTAAATGTTCTACAAACCTGGTTTTCAGGACCCCAACATTCCCTTCCCCCAAAAGGAGACAGCCCCTTGTAGGTGGGGAATTTTGAGGTAAAACTCCAGATTCAGTGGTATTGGGGAAGGTGAGGTATGAAATGCTCTTTAAAAAAAAAAAATCTTCTGTGATGAATTCATTAGATAATTCAAGCAAACTATTTTCTCTTAGAATGTTCTCTTTCTCAGTTTTGGGGAAAAAAGATAATAAATAACAGGTGATAAATCCTTTGTGTAGACTGAAGATGCTAAATCCAGCTATTTTTCGTTCCTGTTTTTTTTCTGATTCATTCTAATTGTATTAGATTAGATTTCACCTGTTATAATTTCCAGTACAACCATAGAGCATCAAGCTGAGGACAGCTCTATTAGAAGATCTTGTCTAAAAGTGTGTTTTTTATTTGCAAACTCAAAGTGAGATCCTACAATTAGCAACCCCTTTTAAGTTAAGTGAGGATTTTGAAACGCTGTCTTTTGCTTTGCAGGTACAGGTAGTTCTCGATTTAAGATTACAATTGGAAATGGAACTTCTGTCATGAGTCATTGCAGTCATAAAGCAAGTCAATATGATTAGTCCCAATTTTATGATCATTTTCACCATAGTCATTAAATGAATCACAGAGTCTTTAAATTAATCTGGCTTCCCCCATTGACATTGCTTGTTGGAAGCTAGTGTCAGGTGCAAAGAATCAGAACCATTCATAAGGTTGCAACATAGATGATTGATTGACACCTATACACAAGAACCTAGTCAACTAATGATCAGCACTAAATTGGTGCTCAATAAGGGTCAATGGAATTTAAGAGAGACTGGATTTGGATCTCTTGTGGCAATACTAGCACTCTAAACATGATGATGTCTTTAACTCCCCCCTACCCTCCCCACCCCAAAATCTGCCTGCTCTTCTACAGCCAGCTAGGAAGGTCACAAGTGGCACTCGTGTGTTCCTGGGATGCTGTAACTGTTGTCAATGCAAGCCAGTTGCAAAGCACCAAGTTCATAATCGCATGACCGTGGGGATAGTCGTAGGTGCAAGCAGGTGCAAGAATTGGTCATAAGAGATATTTTTCAACACCTTTGTAACTTTGAATGGTTGGTAAATGAGTGGTCATAAGTGAAAGACTGCAGGTAGCCCTCAACTTGAAAAAAAGAAGGTAAAGGTTTCCCCTGTCCAGTTGTGTCTGATTCTAGGAGGCGGTGCTCATCTCCATTTGCTAGCTGAGAGAGCCAGTGTCCAAAAATGCATCTGTGGTTATGTGGCCGGCATGACTATATGCCGAGGCGCACAAAATGCTGTTACCTTCCCACCAAAGTGGTATCTATTCATCTACTTGCATTTGCATACTTTCAAACTGCTAGGTTGGCAGGAGCTGGGGCAGAAATGCGAGCTCACCCTGTCACATGATACTTGGCTCTCAAACTGCCAACTTTTGGGTTGACAAGCCCAGTATTTTAACTGCTAGGTCACCATGCCCCTAACTAACCATTTGTTTAATCATGGTTAGAACTTACAGTGGTCTTGGAACAAGTGACGTATGATTCGTCCTAGAAGTTACCATTGTTGCACGACCCCTGCGATCATGTAGCAAAAAAAACCTAGTAAAAACAAGCATGACTCACTTAACAATTGCATTGCTTGGTGATGAACATTCTGATCCCAATTGTGGTCATAACTCGAGAATTACCTGTATTGTCTTTATTTTTTTTATTATTGTTTTATTATTATGAGCCACCAGCAGGGTGGATTTGATTTAAATCGAGTTGATTTAAATCATAATTTAAAACATGATTTAAATCACTAGTAAAAAGGCTTGATTTAAATCAACTCGATTTAAATCATAATTTTTAAAGAGCAATTGTCATCTCTGCTACTCCTTTGACCCAATGTTGACTCACCGATAGTCCCAGTGTTGTAGAATATACAGCCTCATGCTACATAACTAAGCTCCATTTCATGCTGAATAAACTAAATTATTTATGTATCTTAAATAGAAAACTATCTTACGATCGATTTTTACCCCAAAAGTTTTTTATTAAAATAAATTCGATAAAAATCAAAAAAATCCGATTTAAATTAAAAAAATCTGATTTTTTTTTTTTTTTTTTTTTTAAAAATCATTGATTTTTATCCACCCTGGCCACCAGGCATTCATGTAGATTATGGTGACATGTGAAATAGATCAATAAACACTTGGTTCCTTCTCTACATAGGTATACACCTGTAGGCCGTTCCTTTTTTTCTGCTCCTGAAGGCTATGATCATCCGTTGGGAGGTGGCAGGGAAGTCTGGTTTGGATTTCATCAGTCTGTTCGGCCAGCAATGTGGAAAATGATGCTGAATATAGATGGTAACCCCCAGTTCTGTTTTGAGAAATGGCAGGGGGGATTTATAAAAGATTGACATGTATACACATACACAATTCGTTTTGGTGTTTTGTAAGGAAAAGTCCTTTTCTCTTTTACAAATCTCAGTTTCCTTTTATAAATTCCCCACGTTGACTTGGGGGATTCTGGGATTGAAGCCTGCAAATCTTCAAGTTGCCAAACTTGAGAAATATGGAATTAGGGAAACAAAATAAATACTATTTTGTTGTAGTAAGAATAACAGGTGTGCCTTTGTCAGGAAATTGTAACTGGAGGTAGATAAGAATTTATGTTGCAATTCTGAAACATATTTTCATGTTTGAACCTCAAATTTCCTTGATTTCTCTCTCTCTGAATTAACCCATGGAAGAATAAACTGCATCTATACTTCAATAATGTAAATTTTTATTCTGGTTCTCCTGCCTGTACATTGCCCATGCTGATGCCAGGCAAGATCCCAGCAGGAGTTCTAGACCACTCACCAGGCTGCCATCAGGACGGTTTGGCTTCTGGCAGTTCTGGTTCTGTGGTATAGACAGGGGTCTCCAACCTCGGCAACTTTAAGCCTGGAGGACTTCAACTCCCAGAATCCCCCTGCCAGCCGAGGTTGGAGACCCCTGGTATAGGAGACCTAAACTATGGTTAGATCATTTAAAAAAGCATTCTATTTTCTAATAAAGTTGATCTTTCAGGCCAACACAAAGGCTAATCGGTCTTTAAGTTGCTGTCTCCAAAGGAAAACTTTTTAACATTACTCCAAATTTTAAAATTCCTGTGGAAATCGTTTTTTATTGATTGGTTGTGTTCATGGCTAACCTTGCCAGCAAAAATTCAAGGCATAGTATGTGATGCCCCTTTCCTCAGTATTGGTCTTAGGCTTGGATTGATCTTTGCCATTGCTTAATGGCCCCTGATTTGCTTTGTGGATTTTGTTAGCAGACTATTTTAGCCTGGGTTGCTGTTGATTTAATATTTTTAATTTTGCAGCCAACCAGAGTCCACTGGAGGTTGGTAGTCAATAAATTTAAATAAATAATTTTCATAACATCTTGTGAAGGAAGAAAGGCTTAGATATAGCAACTAGTCAAACATTTGCCAGGTTGCTCCATGATTAAGTAGGAGTTGAGTATATGGTTTTGTATTTCCCATATTAAGCAAAAGCCTTTGCTGAGATTCCAAATTAAATTAATTGTATTTATTTAGAAATTTTGTGAAAACAAAACCCATTTAAATCAGTTGAAGAATATTTTAAAGCATAAAACTATTTCAGCCAGCCTGAAATACAGATACAGATAGTCCTCGACTTATGACTGGTTTCTTTGCAACAAGTTATGATGGAATCCCAAAAAAACTATTTATGATCCAGTTTCAAAGTTTCGATGACATATATGCTTCCAGCCACATGATTGCAATTTGGGCGTTTGGCAGTTGACTTGCCATTACACTTATTTGCAGCGTCCCAGTTATGTGAATGCAATTTTTGATGGCTTTTTTTGCTGGTTTCTGGCCTTTACTTTCGGTTTCTGGCAAAAACTGCCCATTGAATAAAATGGATTCATAAAATGAATCATTTAATCATTTAATGATCACCGCAAAAATTGTCATAAAATTGGGTCAGGTCATGTGACTTGCTTAACAACCACAGTGGCTTATGACCATAATTCCGGGCTCAATTGCAGTTCTAAGTCGAGGACTATTAAAATGCTTCGGACCAAAAACTGGAGCTGGAAAGAATGCAGTGTGTACACGCAAATACTTTATGTGGACTGTTAATAAGAGAATGAGGAATCTGCTTAGTACCGGAAAAAGTCAATATTTATTCATGACATAATTGAAGTGTGGGGTTTGCCACTTTAGATACAAGACAAGTTTCCTACTTAGTGATTATGTCAGTGAAGGGAACTGTTTAAGTGGCATATGAATCTTGTTTATAATCATTCTCTTGCAGACAAACATATTCAAAATTCCCAGTGTTACAGATTTGCCCTATCTGATGTCATGTTTTCAACTGCATCTTGTCTCGATACCAGCCTCTGAATCAGAATAAATCAGAGGAGAAACAAAGAACTCCTGGGCATTGGAGGAGGAGAGCAGTGTTAGTTTGTCAGGAGGCGTCTGATAGCACCTTTTCTGACGAACAGATTTTATTAAAAGGCAGGAGCTTTTGTGAACTGCAACTCATGAAATCTTAAGCTTTTAAATAAAATACGTTAATCAGAAAAGGTGTTTGTTACCAGACTGCTTCTAAAGAATCCTTGCGATGAAATGTGAGACTCTCCAGTTGATGAGATCCTTTATCTTAGGTAGTGATTGTGTGACAGCTTTGAAGACCATTTATTTCCTTAAATTTTCTTTTTTCCACCCTAGTTTCTGCCACTGCCTTCTACAAAGCACAACCTGTAATTCAGTTCATGTGTGAAGTTCTTGATATACACAACATTGATGAACAGCCACGACCTTTGACTGATTCTCATCGTGTAAAATTCACCAAAGAGATAAAGGGTGAGTTTTAAAAAAAATGTAGCATTTAATCCACACAGTGCTAATCTTACTGCTTTAGGATGTGCTTGATCTCAGACATCTACATTCATCAAAAACGTACAATGGTACATTACCTTTGGTGCCACATAGTGACTTATTACCATGGCATCTATGTGATGGGCAATGGATTTGTATTCTTGAAAATGTAATAAACAATGAAAGGATTTTTTTTCCAGATGTCTGGACTGTAGAGATTTCAGTTTGTGTTGCCAGAAAGGCTCCATTGCCAGAATTGTGTGCTGCCTCTTTATCTCTTGCCTTCTAGCCACACTGTGCATCATCTTTGATTGACTTTTACTACTGTATTCTTTCAGCTGCCATAGTGCAGCTTCCTGACAAAACTAGGTTGGTTATATGCCAGCCAATCAATCACCTTACAAATGCACCAGGTGTAAGACATAGGGAGCATTGGATTAGTATGTTCAAATAGTACTGTTTGAGATATTTCTACTTGTAAACTGACAGCAAACGGCACTCCTTACTAGCCCTGATGATGTTACCTAGTTAGGGTAATGAAATGCCTGCAAGAAAACAAGCAAGCTCAGAGAACACTAAAGACCCCCCCCCATTTGTATTTCGACTTGTTTCATTTACTTCAGTCAGTATCAAAATATTGGTTCTTGTGTGCTATACAGGTAGTCCTCGACTTACAACTGATTGCTTAACAGTTCCGAAACTCCAGTGCTACCCCCCCTCTGGGGTTATGTGACTGTATTTTGGACATTTGGCAACTGGCCCACATTTATGGCTGTTTGCAGCATCCCATGGTCACATGACCACAATTTAGAACGTTTTTGCCAGAAACTAGCATTTGCTTCTGGTTTTTTGCAAACCCCGGCCTATAGTGGACAATGGGTTTGTTGAACAACTGCCAGGTTCGCTTAACAACCATCACAAAAAAAAAGTTTTAAAATCAAATTGGTCATGTGATAACCGGCTTTACGACCATCATGACTTACAACTGTAAATGCCAGGTTTAGTTACGGTCATAACTTGAGGATTACCTGCCATGGTTAAAATATTGGTCTATAGCAGGATGGATTCGATTTAAATCGAGTCGATTTAAATCATGATTTAAATCACTAGTAAAAAGACTTGATTTAAATCAACTCAATTTAAATCATAATTTTTAAAGAGCAACTGTCATCTCTGCTACTCCTCTGACCCGCTGTTGACTCACCGATAGTCCCAGTGTTGCAGAATATACAGCCTCATGCTACATAACTAAGCTCCATTTCATGCTGAATAAACTAAATTATTTATGTATCTTAAATAGAAAACTATCTTACAATAGATTTTTATCCCAAAAGTTTTTTATTAAAATAAATTCAATAAAAATCAAAAAAATCTGATTTAAATAAAAAAATCCGATTTAAATAAAAAAAAATCCGATTTTTTTTTATTTTTTTTTTAAATCATTGATTTTTATCCACCCTGGTCTATAGACTGGGATCCAGATTCAGATCTAATATCAGCCACGGAAGCACATTAGATGGCTTTGGCTAAGTTATTCTCAAGACAACCAACTTTATTGGACATTGTTATTTGAAAAATTGGGGATGGGAGAAATATCATGTATGCAACCTTGAGCTCCTGGAGAAAAGGCAAGAACTACCAATAAATAAATAATAAAAAAAAATATTGCCATATTTGAATTGGAAGAAAGACACCCCTTGTGAGGATACGTTTTGTGTGTACCTGAAGCTACTTTGCCTATTTTAAATCAAAGGATGCATATGCATATTTTAAATTAGCAGTACTGCAAAGAAGGTAAAGGGAGACATGTTCTTTTGATACATGTCCCTGCTTCAGACAAAGCAGGTTTGCTGATTAGCCTCCATTTCAGTTCTAATGATCCGTGTCACGCAGTGGCATTCAGAGTAGAAGCTGTGGTTCCTTTATGGCAAGTATCAGCAGTGTTTTTCCTGGGCAGTGTGCCATGGTGTGATCTTGCACAAAGAGGGATGAAAGAAAGAAGTAAAAGGCCCCCAAATGTTGCAGAAAAATCTTACGGTTTTGATAGTGCACCTCCTTTCCAAGGTCTTGCATGTTCTTACTTGAAATCTTGCAAAAGTGTAGCCTTTTTAAAGATATGTGTCCACTTGGCTGGTGTGGATGCTGTCTGGGCCAATTCTGCTCTATGAGAAGAGGAAACACAAATACGGATTCTTTGATTTGGATCACATTTGCTGTTTCATTTCCTTTTAGCATTCGCAGGCTATGGCTTCCTTCCACGCTGGAAATGGATAGATTTTGAGAAGGAAATCCTTGTTCTTCGCAATGTTCACTCATTTTCACCAAAAATTATATGAATGTTCACAAAATAGGGAAAAAGACACCACTCAATGAAACATAGTTGTCTCCCAAAAGTTTTATTCCTTGCACAAAGGAGATAACAGGATGCCTGTGTTTGCCTTGATTTTTTTGGATTTTTAGAGCTTTATTTTCCCAGATATGGCGAGCAGGAAGGAAGCATCAACAGGGAAAAATCCCTTCAGGTGCTGTCTGTGTTCTTTGTGGTGGGAAAAAGAAAATGCCATTTGCTGATATCCAAATCAACTTGTCTTCATAGCCCACAGGGTTTTCCTACATATCAGAGCCTTTAGTTGGGCCACCTTTTGGAAAAATTCAAGCTAACACATTAACATTCATGAAATTGGTTTTTGGATTTGGCATGCTTAGAAAAGATACATTTAAGTTGCTATTGATCAGGCTAACTGTCCCCCCTTTTTTGGAAACCCAGGGGCCCTTGAAAATTGGGCCCTTGAAATTTAGAAACCACCAAATAGTGGCACAGTTTTCATTTATAATTTAAGAGGAATAACAGTAGTGTGTTAAATCCTTTGGATCAACACGTCAGTCATCACCGCAGTAACATAGCAATCCCATAAAATTAAGAGAAAAGAGGAAGAATCATTTCATTTTGGTGACATCAGTGCTTGAGGCTGAAAAAAATATGCAAAAGGGAAATTGTAAAAAAGTAAACAAAGCACCAATGTAAAATATCGCCTCATCCTGTTTTGGGGAAATCCTTAGGGGCCACAAATCTGTGGGATTATATTAGGAATGTCCAACCATTCTTATTTCTTTCTTCCAGTAGTATATATGGAAATTATAGCAAATCTTATGGAAGGGATGAATAAGTTCTGCTACAAAACATCCTGTGTCTGTACAAGCATTCTCTGACGTCAGTATTTTCTTTTCTCTTTTTTTAATCCAGGTCTGAAAGTTGAAGTGACTCATTGTGGAACGATGAGGCGGAAATACCGTGTCTGTAATGTTACACGGAGACCTGCTAGTCATCAGACGTAAGCGCATGGCTAAACTACACAGTAAACATATGTGGCTACAAGATAATATACAGGTCGTTCTTGATTTACAACTCCAGCTGGGACCAGAAATTTGGTTGCTAAACTATGCAGTTGTTAAGCAAATGCTCGTGACTAGCCCCAGTTTTGCAACCATTTTTACCATGGTCATTAAGTGAATCCCAGTGGGCATTAAGCAAATCACATTGTTGTTAATTGATTTTGCTTTTCAGAAGCTGGCTGGGAAAGTCACATCGTGATCACATGATTGCAAGATGCTGCAACTGTTGTAAATGTTAGCCAGTTGTGATCATGTGACTCCAGTGGGGGGATGCTACAGTCTTAACTTTGAGAATGGGTCGTAAATCACATTTTCCAAGATTGTTGTAACTTCAAACCATCATTAAATGTACGGTTGTAATTCAAGGACTACCTGTATATAGTATGGGAGGAAGAAGATCCATAGATTCACAGACTTGTGTAAATTAACTATTCTTTCAATTCCGCTTTCCAGATTTCCATTGCAGTTAGAAAACGGTCAGACTGTGGAGAGAACAGTAGCACAGTATTTCAGAGAAAAGTACAACCTACAGCTGAAATACCCTCATCTTCCTTGCCTACAAGTGGGACAGGAGCAGAAACACACCTATCTGCCTCTTGAAGTAATGTATTTAATATCACAATCTCTGAAACATTTGAAGACCCCAAAATCTTTCATTTGCAGATTTGAAAAAGTTAATTATTTTTCAACAATGCATACATTCTGTATATGTGGGCTTTCCTCTGAACTAAAGATAACCATGGGTCTAGAGCACTCTTTGCTCATGAAACTTTATGTTCTAATGTATTTATTACATTTGTAGGGAGTCACTACCCTGTTTCCCCTAAAATAAGACATCCCCTGATAATAAGCCCAATCGGGCTTTTGAGCGCATGAGCTAAAATAAGCCTCCCACGAAAATAAGCCCTCCCCAAAAATATTTAAACCCAGAGCTGGAAATCAGGTAAGATGGCAAGAGGAGCCCCATCTTGCTCCACGCACCCCAAAATAATAAGACCTCCCTGAAAATAAGGCCAAGCGCTTATTTCGGGGTTCAAAAAAATATAAGTCAGGGTCTTATTTTTGGGGAAACATGGTAATCTTTGGGCCCAGTGTCAAGCTGAATAACACTGGCTGTAGAAGTTTTCAGGTTTTTTTTAAAAAAAAAGTATAATAGTATCTCACCACTTAAAGACCTGAAAGACCAAACTAGGGATTAATCATCTTGGAGGAAATCTATATGGTTGCTAAGGATTGATCCAGGCCTGATGGCACTTAATCAATTAAGCAATACTATCCAGCCAATTCATAAAAGTATTATTGATGCATGTGGAACATGCTTCTCAAACCTGGGTAACCTTCGGTTTCCAGACTTCTCAGCCAAAGTCTTCATATCCCCTGGGAAATTCTGGCAGTTAAACATACATCTGCACAGAGTGCCATTTGGACAGCATTATCATAGCAAGTTATTTTGGAGGAAGTGGAGTTTCACCTGTTATATAAAAAACATTGCATGCTGCTCACAATTGTACAGCTCCATCGTTCGTTCTTTGATTATCATAAGATTAACATATAATATTTTTGCAGGTGTGTAACATCGTGGCAGGCCAGCGATGTATTAAGAAGCTTACAGACAATCAAACATCAACAATGATAAAAGCAACAGCCAGATCTGCACCTGACAGACAAGAAGAAATCAGCAGACTGGTTAGTTTGCCTCTGAATTAGAAAAATAGATAAACCCAGCTGGAGGGGTCATTGAGGATCCGGTGTGCTTGTCCCTGTTTGGGTCCTCATATCCCAAATGTCTCCTATCTTTTTTAATCATATCAGTTTATTATTGTGCAAGTATTGAAGTCAGCTACTGTAGAGTTATTATCATGTTGTCCCCTCTTTATCCTCTTTTCTCAGGTGCGAAGTGCAAATTACGATGCTGACCCATTTGTTCAGGAATTCCAGTTTAAAGTGCGTGATGAGATGGCGCATGTGACGGGGCGTGTGCTCCCAGCTCCCATGTTGCAGTATGGAGGGCGGGTAAGAAACTCTTCTCTGGATTTATTCTCATATAATTGGATTTGTAGCTTTGGTCTCTCTTGGTTAGTGATTTCATTTCCCTAGTCCCCGTCTAAGTTTATGCATCTATGATATGACATCTAGTGCTCATTGTGTAAACTGCAAGCATATTGATATTTCTGTTTATTTATTTAGAATCGAACAGTGGCAACACCAAGCCATGGTGTATGGGATATGCGGGGGAAACAGTTTCACACAGGTGTGGAAATCAAGATGTGGGCTATTGCTTGCTTTGCAACACAGAGGCAATGTCGCGAAGAAATACTAAAGTAAGCCTATTGTTCAAGATATGAGTTGCTTCCCTTTGGCTTTAAATTGATAATAGAATAGAATTCAATTCAATTCAATTCTTTATTGGTCAAATGTGATTGGACACACAAGGAATTTGTCTTCAGTGCATAAGCTCTCAGTGTACATAAGGAATACATTCATCAAGAATCATAAGATAACAACACTTAGCGATAGTCATAGGATACTAAATAAGCAATCAAATCATATCATGGCTATGTTATCGATTCTCTGCTTTTTGGTTTATACTGGATCTCTGAAAATATTTTGCTGCTGAAAAAAATATGATAGATTATGTGCCATCAAGTTATCTTCGATTCCTGGTGGCCACATAGATAGGTTTTCTCCCTGATGATCTTCCCTAACCTGGTCTTTCAGCTCTTCCAATGGTGCACCTGTTGCTGTTGTAACTGGGTCTGTCCACCTTGTTGCTGGTCATCCTTTTCTGTTTCCTTCCACTTTTCCCAGAGTCTTTTCCAGTTCAGAGTAAGAGAATTTGACCCTAGTCAGAGTTCAAGTAAGAACTCTGGATTGATTTGTTTGATTTGTTTTCTTGGCTGACCATGATGTACTCAGGAATCTTCTCCAACACTAAAGTTCAAAAGAGTTGATGGTATTTCTATCCTCCGCCTTCAGTTTTCTTTGGTACTCCGCTAGCCTTTGGCATATTTCTTTGTTCCTATACTGTGGATGGTTGCTCCTAAATGGCAGAAGCTGTCAATCACTTCAGTGTTTTTATTGTCAATTCTGTGGCTAATCGTTGTGCCTGTGGTCATTAGTTTTGGTCTTTATATTTAATTTTACTCCTGTTTCTTTCATTGTGTTCCTTGACTTATATGATCACATCTTGCAGAACTTTTGTCTACCAGAGTAGTCACATCAACGTAGTGCAGGATATTGGTGTTTCTTTATCCAGTTTTTAAACCACGCTCAACTTCTGCCTATCCAGCTTCCCTTAATATATATTCAGCACATATATATTATATGACTCAGTGGCTAAGATGCTGAGCTTGTCGATCGAAAGGTCGGCAGTTCAGCAATTCGAATCCCTAGTGCCACGTAATGGGGTGAGCTCCCGTTACTTGTCCCAACTTCTGCCAACCTAGCAGTTCGAAAGCACGTAAAAAATGCAAGTAGAGAAATAGGGACCACCTTTGGTGGGAAGGTAACAGCGTTCCGTGGACCTTTGGCATTTAGTCATGCCAGCCACATGACCATGGAGACATCTTCGGATAGCGCTGTCTCTTCGGCTTTGAAACGGAGATGAGCACCGCCCCCTAGAGTCGGGAACAACTAGCATATATGTGCGAGGGGAACCTTTACCTTTTTAATACAGCCCTGCGCTTCACTCCTTTGCCTGGAGCTAGTCTGTTTTGCCAAGCGCAATCTATACTGTGGCTTTTCCCAAAGGTGCTTTTTCAAGGGGCAACTGGATTTTCTGGTTTTTCATTGAAGACGTTTCGCTTCTCATCCAAGAAGCTTCTTCAGCTCTTCAGAAGAAGTCCAGCTGCCTCTTGAAAAAGCACTTTTTGACAACCATGACCTGGATGAATCTCCATAGGCATATACTGTGGATTCTTGATCTATATATAGGTTTTGCATAAGGACAGTGTGAGATTCTGGGACTCCCATTTTTCTAAGCATATTCCACTGCTTGATATGATTAATAAAATTAAAGGCTTTTCTATAATCAATGAAGCACATCCTGACTTCTTTTTGTTACTTTCTCAATTATTCACTACACATCAGAAATGTCTCGTGTTCTTTGGTTTTTTCTAAAACATCTTGAACATCTGATGTTACTTTTGTGTGTGTGTAGGCCTCTAATTGGCATTGGATGATCCCAAGCATTATTTTGCCAGCCTGTGAAATGAAGGAAATTGTACAATAGTTTGCACAATCAATTAAGTCTCTCCATTTTGGTATTGGAATGTAAATTGGCCACTTCTGGTTTCCAGATTTATCAGCATATCTTGATTAGAAGCTTTTAGTATTGGAGGTACTTATAAATAGGAAATGTCTTCTATCTTATCTTGAATATTGACACGTCTACTGTTCATAATTTCAGTGTATTCCTTCTAACTCCTTCAGCATACCCATTTAAGGTCTGGAATTTCCTTTTGATTTCACAGACATTTTGGAAGTCTTTCCTTGTTTTTCCATGCCTGTTTCCATTTTCAGTGTTTTTACAGATGTTGTAATATTGCTTCTCATCTTTTTTAACAGCTCTAAAATTTTTCCCTCTGAATTTTTAATCTTTCTGGCTTGACTTCTCTTCTCAGCAATTTCTGCAGTTTGTTCTGACATTCTGTTTGCTGTTTCTGACATTCTGTTTCTCCATCTTTGGCAATCGCTTTTTGCATTCATCCATAACAATTTCCTTCAGTTCATTCCTCAGTTTATCTGCTTCTCTGTCAATGAGACTTGAGAATCCAAAGTGTCCTCCTTGAAAACAGTGGGTATATGCTCAAAATCCCAATGAGTAAGCTAGTTGGTTTTCTTCTTCTTTAGCTTAATTTGGAACTTGCATATGAACCGTTCATGATCTATTCCACAATCAGCACCTGGCCATGTCTTTGATCCTATAATTGATCTCCTCCACCTCTTTTTGGCAATAATTATAGTCAATTTGATTTCTGTGTTCGCCATCTGGAGAAGTCCATGTATGCAGACATCATTTTGGTTATTTTGAAAATAGTGTAAGCTATGAAGTATTCATGGGAGTTGAGGGAATTGATGTCATTCCCCTGCTTCATTTCTGTTTCCTAAACCATATAACCTGCATTTTCCATCTTAATACTTTCAACTCTTTCATTCCAGTCTCTAATAAAAAACCCGTAACGATATATAATTATAATGTTATAATTAATATTATTCTTGTTATTCAGAATTACATTGGTGGTTAATACTACCCTGTGATTATCATCTTTGCCTTCAAAACTTGCTGAAACTCATTCTCATTAATACAGATACTGTTTGACTTAGGACCACAATTAAGCCCAAATTTTATGTTGCTAAGTGAGATGGTTAAGTGAGTTTTGCCCCATTTTACAACCCTTCTTGCCATAGTTGTTAAGTGAATCACTGCAGATGTTAAATTAGTAACACAGTTGTTTAAGTGAATCTGGTTTCCCCATTGACTTTACTTGTCAGAATGTCGCAGACCTCAGGATGCTGCAACTGTCATAAATATGAGTCAGTTTCCAAGCAAGCCCCTGAATTTTGATCATGTAGCAGTGGGGATGCTGCAATGATTGTACGTATGAAAAATGGTCATCAGTCACTTTTTCAGTGCTGTTGTAACTTTGAACAGTCACTAAATGAACAGTTGTAAGTTGAGGATTACCTGTATTAATGATAATAGCTTTCAGCTCTGGTTGTCCCTCTCTGTACACTAGCTAAGTGAGCCATTAACTCTCACTTTTAGAGCAAAGGGGAACAAACATGAATGAGCTCTGTGTGTGTGGATGCTAGCATTCTCCTTTCATCCAGTTTTTATTTGTTGCCAGGGGTTTCACAGACCAGCTGCGCAAAATTTCTAAGGATGCAGGGATGCCAATCCAGGGCCAGCCTTGCTTCTGTAAATACGCCCAAGGTGCTGACAGTGTGGAGCCCATGTTCCGACACCTTAAAAACACATATTCAGGACTCCAGCTCATCATTGTCATCTTGCCGGGAAAGACACCTGTGTATGGTAAATAAATATCCAAACGCTTTGTGTGAGCTCCACTTGTTTTGAATTGCCTTGAAAAGACTTGAGAAGAAAAGTAAATAATCTTAGAATAGTAGGTTCTGTATGAAGCTAGGGTTATGAGGGCACGGCAAATCAGGGCAACAATGGAAATGCAAGCTTTTCATGTTTCTTGTTACATTATGGGAACTGAAAAGAGGAGGTCAGTGAAATATACCTCTTGATTGGAAGAAGGCCCTCTGTGGGAAAGACTTTGCATCATATGGGAGAAAGTAAAGCTTTCTAATATGTTTTGTTCTTTGCAACATCCATTTCTCCTCTCATCATATAGATTGTAAAACTTTTTCAGATACTAACTGGCAACATTTCTTTCATGTTTTCAGAGAATATTGTGTGGCTAGATGATAAAAGCAAGGAAAAAACAACAGGAATAAATATTTGAAAGTAATCTGTGTTTTCAGGGCTTTGTTTGTATGAAGGGCTTCTGAAGACTTCTGTCTTTGAGAGCTTTGAATGTTTTTATAAGAGCTAGAGGGGGACCTGGTTGGGATTTTTCTTCTGCTATTGATCTCCCTCATTGAACTAAGGCTCCTTGGTTTGTTCCATCTTACTCAGGGGTGGGTTCTACTTACCTTTACTACTGGTTTGCAACGGAGCTGCGTGCACGCTCTTCTGTGCATGTGCAAAAGCATTCTGATGACGTCGGGGTCGGTGGCCGGAGCCTCCCGCCGGTTTTATTACTGGTTCTATAGAACCGGTGCGAACCGGGGGCAACCCACCACTGATCTTACTGCTCAAAACCTCTATGAAAGATTAGTCCTGGCAAAATGCACGGCAGTAGAGGCAGAACCTGGTGACTGGGGAATTCTGGGAGTTGAAGTTCATTGGTTTTAAAATTGCCAAGGTTGGACACCCCTGATTTAGCCGGAGGTGCATCTCGACCTGCTCTCCCCTAGATATGTTTATTCATTCGTTTATTTAAATTCCCATGATTGAAAGGAAGATAATGTAAACTATGATCCAGCCCATCTGGAGGGCATGAATTGGGAAAGGCTAATGCTGACTGATAAGGAAAAACTCGGTATGGTTTTCAGAAAGCAGATAACAGTACTGCAATGTTAGATTTTAGAACCGTTCCTTAGAATTTTGAAGATTCTTCATATTAACGCTTGTTTTTTTTTTAGCGGAAGTGAAACGTGTGGGGGACACACTTCTGGGGATGGCTACACAGTGTGTTCAAGTCAAGAATGTCATAAAAACGTCTCCTCAGACCCTCTCAAACTTGTGCCTAAAGATTAATGTAAAATTGGGAGGAATCAACAACATCCTTGTACCTCATCAACGGTAAGAATCCTTCCTTAATGTTTCATAGAATTGGGCATAGGAGTGCATGCATCAAAACTGAGAAATTCTGTGGAATTGCCATGTTTTGATGTGGCAATTGTTTACATACAAATCTTTATGTATGAAATAAACATGGCTGCGATACTTGGTTACTTTAATAGTTAAAATCATGTTGGTTGCTTTGAAGTGTCTTTTGGTGATCAAATAGGAATTTTTAGAATGATACAGATAGTCCTTAATTTATGTCCGTAACAGAGCTTGTCCATTAACGGTTGTGATGGTTGTAGAATGATTGTAAAACGGGTCACTCAATTTTTCGACCATTTTTGAGGTGGTTGTTAAGTGAATATAGTGATCTTAAAGCAAGCATGGTGATCGTAAAGCGAGCCCATTATTCATTATGGGGTGTTTTAGCCGAAAACTGGAAGTAAATGCTGCTTTTCAGGCAAAAGCATCATAAAACACAGTTGGATGCTGCAAATGGCCTTAAATGCAGACCAGTTGCTGAGCGCTTGACGTCACATGACCATGAGGTGGGCGACGGCCATCGAAACTTCAGAACCAGGTCGTAAATACCATGGAGGGTCCATTATAACTTCGAACGATTTCTAAGAAATTCTTCGTAAATAGAAAACTATCTGTATGCTGCTATAAATTCTGATTGCAGATCTAAGAAGACACACATTCAGGCAAGGAATGAATACTCTACATCGGTGTTTATTTTAGCACAAGGGACATTCTCTATTAGGACAGATTTTGTTTCACATGTAAATTTAGTAGGGTTTTTTTTTTTTCCAAAGGAACTAAATTCTGTAAGATGCAGGAGTTAGCCATGAGATTTGTTACATTCCTGGCTACACACCAGAAGCATCTGCCTTTCTTTCCTTCCAGATGTGAGGTGCATGTAACCCAGGGCTTGCTGACCCTGAGTTAGATATTAATATTGCGGTTGATTTGTTCCTTTTTTTAAAAGACCTTCTGTGTTCCAACAACCAGTGATCTTCTTGGGAGCCGATGTTACTCACCCACCTGCTGGGGATGGAAAGAAGCCTTCCATTGCTGCTGTAAGCTACGTTGTATTTATAGGTCTCCCTTCCTCCCTCTTCCTTCCCCCTCCCCAAATAATTTGAATGAGAAAACCGAGGAACTTGGATTGAGACAGAATGAATTTGTTTTGATTGCTTTAATCCAGTTCTTTGTGTCTCATGGGTTTATCAGCCATTCTTTCTGCTTAATTTTTCATTGTGTGCAGATTAAAACTGTTTCTGGTAAAGGTGAATGATTTTTGAGGGTTACTTGTAGTTTCTGCACACCTGGGTTCTGTGAATCATTGTATTTGTATTTAACTTTGTTGTCCATTTACCTTATTAAGGGAGAGAAGGCATTTGTTATGTGGTGATGAAGCATGTGGTATATATATATCAAAAATAATTCTGATGGATAAATATTTAGATAAATAAAAATATTCCACTTGGAAAATAAATCATATAAGATGCTAGACTAAGACTGGAAAAATCCCAGATTCAAGCTCATTTTTGAGCCTTAAATATCACTCATTGACTTAAGCCAGTTCCTGTGTCTTAATTCTATGTCTCTCACTGGGACGTTGTTGGAAGGATAAACTTGTGAGTGAGTATATATAACTTGTGGGGAGACATATTGGAACACTATCTCAGGGGTTGCCACAAAGAAGAGGGAGTCAAACTATTCTTCAAAGCACCTGAGGGCAGGACAAGAAGCAATGGGTGGAAACTAACCAAGGAGAGAAGCAACTTAGAACTCAGGAGAAATGTCCTGACATTTAGAACAATTAATCAGTGGAACAACTTGCCTCCAGAAGTTGTGAATGCCCCAACACTGGAAATTTTTAAGAAGATGTTGGATAACCATTTGTCTGAAGTGGTGTAGGGTTTCCTGCCTAGGCAGGGGGTTGGACTAGAAGACTTCCAAGGTTCCTTCCAACTCTGTTATGTTATTCTATTCTATTCTATTCTATTCTATTCTATTCTATTCTATTCTATTCTATTCTATTCTATTCTATTCTATTTGCTAATTATAAAAGAAAACATAAATTCAAAATCTAACAAAACATTCTTAAAAAATCAATTTAAGTGACAAGTGTAAGCAACAGCCATATAAAATATTATTTACTTACTTATTAGCTGAGCAGCCACAGAACAGTTAGTATAAAAAAAGGACATTTGAAACATGGCCTCTATGGAATCCTCATTCATTTTCATGTATCCCTTTTTTTGCTGTTAGGTTGTAGGTAGTATGGATGCTCATCCAAGCAGGTACTGTGCCACAGTGAGAGTCCAGAAACCCCGCCAGGAGATCATCCAAGATTTGGCCTCCATGGTTAGAGAACTTCTCATCCAATTCTACAAATCAACACGGTTCAAACCCACACGAATCATCTTCTATCGTGACGGAGTTTCAGAAGGACAGTTTCGACAGGTCTTCATATTCGTTTATATCACACTTATGTCCTACATAGTTAGCAGGGTATTTCAAACCAGCTAACAATAAAATTCAAACATTAGTTCAATGGCAGAGTGCCAAAGAACTTAAGTCTTGCATTCATAACAAGAAGAGAAAAGAAAATCATAATGAGTCTTTAAACACTATCAAGACCTCTACTGTTGATGGTCAGATACCAGAATAAGAATATCAGCATCACTGCCACAAAAAGGTCCTTAAAATCTGTCAATAAGAGCATTGCTTGAATGATTTCTATGTAATCCACAATGAACCTTGTTGAATAGGGCTGGTCCTTCCATTAATCATTGATCACTTTCCATGCCTCCAGCTTAGGAACTTCCTTTTGAAAATCTTTACTATTTGCTTTGCTATAAATGTTTGGATTGAATCCAAGAAGACCCAGGTTCAAGTCCCACTTGAGCATGAATCTCGCTGGGTGACTTCAGATCTGTCCCCATCCTTTAACCCAATTTACTGAATTTTTTGGAGTATAAGACGCTCTGGCGTATAAGACACACTTTAGTTTTTGGGGAGGAAAATAAGAAAAAAAAAGTGTGCTTTCCGGATGTGATTGCTGCTGCAAACTCTGAGTTCTTGCAGCAAATAGCAAACATCCAGGTCAGCTTCAGCACATTATTGTGGCTGATTCAGCATAAGCAGCTGATTGGTGGGTGGAATACCCCCAATCAGCTGTTCCAGGCTACAGGGATTGACACAGATTATCACCGCCTCCGTGCCTTGCGTTTTTGGCTACATTTGGTGTATAAGACGCACCCAAATTTTCACCCTCTTTTAAGGGGTGGGGTAAAGTGATTTTTATACGCAGAAAAATACAGTACTTCACATGTATGAAGTGGCGACCATGTATGCGTTTCACTGTCAGGAACACAATGGAAGTTACTACATTGAAAACAGAGTTTTTGGCAGAGGCTTCTATGCAGTTAATTGAAAAGCAGCAAATAGACTCTTTTCTGCAGACTGATAAACTTTATCATGACAATTCTTGGTTTTATAGACATGTAAAAAGGATAATATGCAGAAAAGTTTTGAAAGTTCCAGTTATAACACTGTTCTCTGCTAGCTTAAGTGTTTTTCAAGCTTGGCAACTTTCAGATAAGTGTTGAAGTCCACCCATCTTAAAGTTGCCAAGCTTGAATAATAATGCCATAGAAATTCGTTGAGGCTGAAAAATGATAAATATTGTGTGTTTGTTTGTCAGAACAGAAATCTGATTTACGTTCCCATGTTTATCGCTGTTCGAGTGAGCCAAGCCTTTTATTCCTCCTCTGTAGGTGTTGTATTATGAGCTGCTGGCAATTAGAGAGGCTTGTATCAGCTTGGAAAAAGACTATCAGCCTGGCATAACATACATTGTGGTCCAGAAGAGGCATCATACGAGGCTGTTTTGTGCTGATAGGACAGAAAGGGTAAGACTTGTCCCATTTCCAAGCAGGTTTTTTTTTCCAAACAAGAATTGTAATGGTCATTCTTAGTACAGATACAGAGTGGTTGAGTCTTTGCAGCATTTCATACTGGCTGCCATTCTTGCAGCAGATCTATAAAGTAGATAATTGCTGTTACCATATATCCGGGGGGGGGGGGTCGGGAATCCAAGACTCTGTAATAATAACAGGAGTAAGATTTCTGGCAGAGGCTTCCTGATTAGGCTCTGTTAAAAGGTTTTAGACCCTCATCTTCAAGTTACCTTTCCACAATCTGTATTGGAAATGCAGGCCCCAAATTGCCAACTAATATTGGCTAATGGATGGCTCAGGTAACACTGGATGCAGCTGAAGTTCTTTGGTTTGTATGATTAATTTATAAATAGCCTTGAGTTAGCTTAAAGTTTAATCAAGTGATCATTTTTTTAAAACAAAATTTGTATAAAAATTGATCGTTGCTACATGGAAGGTATAATCCTTCTAAAGAGATTATGAGCAATGTAGACATTAGAATCACAGAATTGAGAAATATACAGGTTTTTTTTAAAAAAACACACACATTATTAATTTAATATTTAATTTACTTATGTTCTAGGTTGGAAGAAGTGGAAACATCCCTGCTGGAACAACAGTAGATACGGATATCACACATCCTTATGAATTTGATTTTTACCTCTGTAGCCATGCAGGAATACAGGTAAAAATGAAGCATTCAGTTCCTGGACCAATGCTTCCAGTCATGCCTATCCAAATTTGGCGTCACTGAGTGGATGAGAATAAAATCGTACTTGTCCAGTTTTTGATTGAGAAAACTTAAATCAGCAAAGACTGACCTAAAGCAAAATTACTAATTTATCATTCAGTTATTTCTGAAAATACATACTCATTGGTTAGAATAAGCATTAAAACCTTGATTTGCTATAAAGCATAAGCTTTCTCCTATCTAGGGTGATGATCTCTAATGGAATCTATTCTCTAATAACTTTAAGAAAAAAAGATATAGTTACTTCAACATAACACGTGGACAACACTGGCTCTTTTTGACTAAGAAGTGGAGATGAACACCAGCCCTAGAGTCAGAAATGAATGGGCAGGGGAAACTTTTCCCTTTAGATAGTTATTGAGTCTTCTTTTAAGTCCAATTTATGAGAAGAGATCCAGACTGTATCAGGGCAGCTAAAATATATCATGAGAGCCCTTTCCTAGATGGCTCGGAATCATTTATAATTGCCATGCCTGTCCTAATAAATTTAAAAAAACAATTGCACTTTTGGAATGTTACACAATAGTGTATCTCAGCCACAACCGTGACAACTTTAAGATGTCTGGACGTCAACTCTGCTGGCTCGAGGATTTTGTGAGTTGAAGTCCACTCATCTTAAAGTTGCTGAGATTGAGAAAGTTACAGAAATATGATGTCAAAATTTAATGAGTTGAACTACCGGAACTACTGTCATGTTTTCTTTCTCTTAGGGTACCAGCCGCCCCTCACACTATCATGTCTTGTGGGATGACAATTGTTTTACTGCAGATGAACTTCAGCTGCTAACTTACCAGCTCTGCCACACCTATGTGCGCTGCACACGATCTGTGTCTATACCTGCACCAGCTTATTATGCTCACCTGGTAGCATTCAGAGCAAGATACCACCTTGTGGACAAAGAACATGACAGGTGAGAATGAATGCTTGTGTTGCTCCCTCAGCTAACTGACTACCTAAAAGCCAAAGGTTGGTTCTGTTTTCCAGAATTTTCTGAGCAACATTGGCTTTTTAAAACGATTTCTTGGGATAGAAGTAGCTCAGCTTCTTTGCACATTCTTTTAGCTGGGTTCTTTGGGCTTCGGGAAATCAGTACTGAAATAGAGATTATGTTTTCCATATATCAATGTTTCACAACCTTGGCAACTTTAAGATGGGTGGACTTCAACTTCCAGAATTCCGCATCCAGCATGGGGCATTCCACAGTGTGCATGTGTAGGATCCCTCATAGTCTTTCATCTATTATACCATTTTTTCCTGACAAGAAGTGTAGATTAAAGGAGACTGGGATGGACAACAAAGCAGACTCTTTCAGGTTCCATCTAACTCCTTTGAAAGGCCTGTTCTCATCTCCCTTGAACTATTTTAGTGCTGCCCCAGCCTTGAAGTCAGGTATATTTAAAGTGGGGCATTTCAAAATTAGAACGCTTTTGTAAAGTTTGCACATTGTAAGCCTCATGTAAATTCATAACAATTGGCTTTAAGCTTCAGATCCTTCAAACATGAGACACTTTGCACAGATCTGCAACATAGATAAACATGCATTGTGTATGTATGTGACTGTAGGAGGAAGGAAAACACATTGCTCATTCAGACCACCATGTTACACTTCATATCAACAGTATTATATGAAAGTTTTTCCCACCATATCTGCAAAGAACCACCTTAGATACAGGTTTCGATAAACATTAGATATAACCCAAGGAATTATTTAGAACTCTGGTTCTAGGGATTTATTTTGCATCTGTTAACCTACACAACAATGATTCTAATATTAAAATGCCACCTTTGACAACTTGGGGGAAGTTAAAAGGGATATTGGATAAAAACGTTACTTTTGCTGACTACTGGATCTAAACTCTGTTTGACATAATACTAGAGATCTTTGACTTCAGAGCTTGTTCATTGAGAAACCCAAGAAAGAAAGAGAGCAGAACTGGTGCCTTGCAGTTCCTCAAGAATTTGTTCATCCTCTCTTCCCTTTTTCCCTCTTCCTACAGTGCCGAAGGAAGCCATGTTTCTGGACAGAGCAACGGAAGAGATCCCCAAGCCCTCGCTAAGGCTGTACAGATTCACCAAGACACCTTACGCACCATGTACTTTGCTTAGCTATATATAAAATAGAGATAGATATATATATATTAAAAAAAATGAGATGGAACCTGTTCACGAAAGAAAGAACTGCAGAATTAAGTCACATACAGTGTATGTTTCCAGAGCAATCGGTGAATGGGGGAGGGAGCAGCTCTGCCTTGCTGAAGCTGATTTCTGTTTTTGTGGGGACGGGGAGCAGGCCTTATCCTTGTCCTGATGCAAGGAAGATTGTTTACTTCACCAAGAACACGCCACTTATTATGCAATATGAAACCAGCCAACTGCTTTCGGAGCAGCTTCCTATGGGAAGTGCTGCTGTCATCATCTTTTCCTTTGTGCGTTTGGGTCTCTGTGTTTCTTTTTCGGGGTTGGGGGGAAGGGAGGGAGGGAGGAGGAGGAGTCTAAATCCTTTTTATGCCTTTACCTCAAGTTGCTCAGCAGCACAACTCTTTCTGCAAAAAAATTTAAAAAACCCACAACAACAACAACATAAAGGTTATTAAAACTTATAGGAGCAATGCAAGTGATGTTGAGGTGGGAGTGGGTTGGTGGGTGTGCAAAAGTGTTTTTGTCTGTTTTGTACCCTTGCGGGGGTTGCATACGGCTTCCCCTCCATGGTTGTCTGTGCTTGAATGCAAGCAGAACAAGTGTTACTTTGTGTGAACGGCCCCATCGTTATTGTGGGAAAGAGTGTGCGCACTTGCACTTAATACTTCCCTGTGTAGTTTAGCCAACTGCTGCCTTTCATGTCTGTCTGCATAGCTTGGGAGTCGCACCACTCCATTTGCTTTCCATCATGGAACTAAATTTGCCATGTACTTTTCTCCCAGAAGTACTGATACAGCCTGGCCAGTCTAATGATGTTGTTGCTTTCTGCTTGTCCAGAAGTTCCAGCTAATTTTCCCTCTTGTGTGTTGTACCTGTATCTTCCAAGCTTCTTGCGACATCCTATGTTCCTTCGTTTCACTAGGTGGCACGTCGTGATGAAGTAGAGAGTTGAGTTATTTTTGTTTTGTTTTTTTTAAAAAAGGAGACAGATTTGTTGAATGGCTTCCTCTCACTTTAATGTGACCGCGCATATCTATATGTGTACTCCCCCCCTTTTATATTTATTAGACAAATAACAATGCTTTAATTTAAGTGGGCAACCTGGGTTTTTATGTTTAGAGACATAACTATTTTGTTTAAAGGACTGACAACCTGTTTTTGCTACCTTTTTAGTGCAATAAGCCGTTAAAGGAATAATAATAATAATAATCTGTCCATTTTTGCTGCAGCAGCATTTTACACCTTTCATGATGGAAAAATGGATGTATCTGGGCTTTTAAACAAACAAAATTAGCCTCAATTTTGAAAGGAAAGCCTTAAAGTAGGGGATTTTTCTTTTTTTTTTTAAATCAAAAAGGCAAACTCCTTAATGCTGCTCTTTGTCTCCAGCGTTTAATGCTGCCTTGTAATGCAGGACTTCTGTTTGCTGAACCTTTATTTTATGAGTATTTTTCATCTACAGCAAAGCCTTTTACAGAAGCCTAACTCTTGTCCCGATGAAATCAGGCCAAGCCTAAAATGCAGGTGGGCGGGAGAGAGTGTTTAAGAAGCTATTTTTTGATTGTGTAGGCTTTTTGTTTTGAAATTGAGTGCGCTATTTTGTTTGGTGGGATACATTTTAGAAATGAGATCACTGAATGTGAATCTGGTAAGTGGGCCTCTCTCTGTTTCATTCCACTTGACATCCGAAGCAAAGTATTTTATTGTCAGAGGTGAACATTTTGACTCAATGGCAGGGTTTGGGGAAACATTTTGCACTTTGTAAACACGTGAACTGCAGTTTTGTCTGCTTTATTTGCACTGGTTTTATATTATATATGCAGAGACGCGTGCTTGCAGATGGTTCATTTGGGCATTGTTGAATAACCCAGCCCTGCTGAAACAAACCAAGCCATCTCCACGTGAAAACCATTTGACTGGTTGAAGTATGTTTACTTACCTCCATGTTGCGTTTAAAAGAGCCCGCTCTTTTTGCCAATCTCTTGTACGGAGAGTTGATTAATCTGAGCCCATTTTGCTCCCCCAACCATGATCCTTTAACCTTCTGCCATGTTTTAAAGGATAGGTTTGGATTTCTGTAGGATGGTGTCTCAAAGTGCATTTACCACACATCTGGCCTAGCAGAGTTTATTCCGATTCGCAGGGAAGGGACACAATTTGAATACACTTAAAATCGCTTTGATTAGGGAAGCTGTTCGCTTGGGTTACAAGTAAACTCCAAGCCTGAAAAGTGTCTTAGTTGAGGATGTGTTATGTACTGGGCTTACCTTTGCGTTCTCAGCATGACTCCAGGGAAGGCAGCACAGGGAAGTTCAGGCTTTGGGAGATTTCTTCACATTTGTCTATCATGTCTTTGTCCAAAGAAAACATGCCCCATTTATCAATCTAGGCTGTCCAACCTCACTGGAGCTCAATGCAAGTTTTATAATACCAATAGAAGAGAATACTTGGAGCTCAGGATTGAACTATGGGGTCCTTAGTGCTTTCTGAGCTTGGTTGTTTCCTTGCAGACGTTTCATGACTCAACTAGGTCACATCTAGTTCCCTCCCTCTCTAGCACTGACGATGTTACCCTAGTTGGGTTATGAAACATCTGCAAGGAAATGACCAAGCTCAGAAAGCACCCCAAGGACCCCGCAGTTTTATTGTTCTGGGTGAACCTATGGTAAAGCGATAGCATGTTTTCATAAACACATTACTCTTTTTTTTTTTTTTAAGAAATTGCCACTTCAGTGGGAATTCATGCCCTAAACTATTTTCCAAGTTAGCTTTTTAGAAGCACTTTAAAAATGTTACTTTGGACATTTGAGTTTTGCTTCCTTTAAAAAAAAAGTTGTTTACATCTTGATGCAGTATGATATATATTTCTTATTCTGTTCCAATTGTTAAGCAGATTAATTTGCAAACCTTGCCTGTCAGTTTCCTCCTTCCTGCCAAGTCAAAGGCCGCCAGGAAAGCATCTTTTCAATTCATGCAGAGTGCTAACGCAGTGAAATGGTTTTCATGTGGAGGGGATCTGCTAATTTAAGAACCAAACCTGGCAACATTGGAGTTGTGAAACTATCTTTGTAAAGTGCCGATAAACATTCTTAGTACAATATCAAAGTATTGGCATTGGGTGCCACACTTCTTACAATACTATAGCTGCTATATTTATTTAAATGGACTTGGACAATGACTGCATGAGGCCAGAGAAAAGCAGGAATTCAGGCTTGTGTTTAAGATGTGAGGTTCTGATTTTCTGTTTTGTAATGGTATGATATAACAAGGGGTGCTGTTTTAACCAAGATTATGAAACAGACAGATATTATTCTTTTGTTTTTAAAAGACTTAAGATATTTTTTGATGTTGCAATGGAGCTGGGTGGGTGGGTGGGGAATAAATGGTACCTCATCTGTGGTGGCAGTTTCCAGTATATTTTTCACAGGAGTATATGGACTTATTTTTGTACATGTTCTTAGTTTTAAAAGCTTTCTTGAATTTTAATGTGCTTTCATGGAAATCTTAGCCTATAGAGTCTTAGAGCTGCCTGTTCAACCTGTGTACAACTGGGAGCGTAGGGGTAAGTGTCTTCTACATCCATTTTGGCTTTGTTTTTAGTATGCATCTTTTTTTGCCGAAAATGGTGGCTCTAGAACCCTGTGGATCCTTCCTGTATATGCAAGTGCCTCTGTCTCCTGTCCTTTCCCCAAACCCAACCCAGATACTTGAGAAGGAAGGTCTACCAAGAGAATGTATCTAAGGGAAAGCTATAGGGGGCAGGGGTTTTCTCTCTGTGCCATAGGTCAGTTGTCATGCACAGTCTCCATTTATTCCAGTTTGGCTGCATGGGAAGGGATCCTTCCTTTCGTCTGATGACTAAAAGGTCAGAAGCAGAAAGGATCACATCAGCCAAGCATGATATTATCTAAGCATGAGTTGCTGAGTGATGTACTACCAAAAGACATCCATCCCAAAGCTCCATTCTGTTGGATCTTTTGGGCATGGAATTTGAGATAAATAGGTGTCTGCATGAAGTTGAGTGATTTAAAAAACAAAACAAAACACATAGATGAATAATATTACTAACAGCTAGAGGTGCCTGGATCAGCTGGTTTGGATGGTCTGTGTCCAAACTTGAAGCATGCATATTTGAGGTGTTTTAGTTTCTGCACATAGCAAGATGGGACTGTTTTGTTTGAGCCTCCCAGAGTTGCGTTTTAAGATGGGTAGGCATCCTAAGAGATTGATTGAAGTGTGGACTGAAACAGGGCTGATTCAGGCAGAAGTGTGTGTAAGAGGGAAGAACAGGAAAAGCCCAGCTCATTTAACAAAATGGCGAAGAGGAGGGCATTGAAAGATTGGGGGACAGTTCAGGCCAGTAAACTAGGCCATTCTAGACAGAGCCCGCAATGGAAAGATTTGGGGGGGACACACACGGGGGGTGGCATGGGGATGGGAGATCATGCGCTGGGACCTGCTGAGGGACCAAGGACAAGAGGGAATGATGCGCACCAGCTATGCTCTACTTGCCCTGTCTAGATTTCATTTCATCCCAAACCCAGAGTAACCCAAGTGTTTTGGGATTTGGTTCTGTTGACTGTGGCTGACCTGAAATGGTTGGGCAAAACTTGCCGAATGTGTTGGTTTATTGTAGGCTTGAAACAAAATGTGTTGTTTTTTTTTTTTTTTTTTTTGCATTTCATGCACCTAAAGTCTATTTTATAAGCCTTTTAGATTGCATCTCAAGACAGTTTCCTGCAAAAAATGCATTAAAATTACAAATGAAACTGTTTCAAGATATTCTTTGTCTTTATTTTGTATGTCCCTATTCTGTGGATCACCCCTGTGGATCTGATAGGTCTGCTTGGTTTCCAGAGGATGTTTGAGGACTTCCTCAGGAACTTGGGAGTTCATTGTGGTGTGACCTGGTGGGGATACTGCACTGTCCACCTCTAGAACAAGGCAATAGCAGTGATCCTTGATTTTAATTTTTTAATTTTTATTTATTTTTATATGCCGCCCTTCTCCGGAGACTCAGGGCGGCTTACAATGCATTAAGCAATTGTGGGATTGTGCTCCAACAGCTTCTCTGCTGATCTAGTAGATTTCTCTGAAATGTTGAGGAGCTCTGGGAGATGAAGCAGCAGAAGAGATGCCTGGAACAATACTGAAAAGCAATGAAGAAGAGTTCTGAGTCAACGTGGCTATCAGGTTAGGTTCAAACCTATAGCGTAGCTATACTTTGTGCTTATCAAATCTGTGGTTTCCTTTCAGCAATTTTATTTAAGATTTCCTGGGTCTTTTAAGGGAAAGATGGGCTGGATGATCAATTAGTAGGCTGCTATGATGAATTTGCAAAGCATCTGGAAGGTAAAATCACATTTTCTCAAGGTTGATGTCAGCTGGCCGTGTCCAGTCACGATGACTTGGAGATCGTCTTGTGAGGTTATCTGGAACCAGTTCAACCCTGTTGATCCCAAAGAAGTGGACTAGCTCTTCTGTGATGTCACTTGTGGACTGGATTCATTTGGTGAAGGCTTACCAGGGAAGTAGCAGGTATGAGTAAAGGCTAGTTCATCCTTGGGAGAAGAGCACCGTTGTCTTTCCAAAGGAAGTGGCATTACCCCCCTCTTCCAAGGATACGTTCACTTCCACCTCTCCTTGGAAAGCCATTATTTGACCCCACTATTTGTATAACTATTGGTGTTATACAAAGTGTTCCTTCTTTTGTTTGTGTTCAGGAAATGGGACAGAGGGCAGGGGATAGAACAGAGACTGCACTGATGGTCCTTGATGACCTGATACTGGGAAAGGCGACTGCAACATCACAATCTCCTTTGAAGGTTAGGAGTAGGGGGCACTGTGTAATAAACTTCTGGCTGGTTCAGTTGATTTGGAGTGGAGGCTTAGTATTCAGGCCCTAAGCTGTGGGGAACTACAGTGCTCAGTTCTCTTTTCCATACACTTTAATATCTATAGGAAGCAGTGGGTGAATCATCTATCAACACTAGGTGAAATATCGATATCCAGAGGATACTTAAGATATATTTACCCACAGTGCTGTTGAGGTTCTGTCTTGGTTCCTGGGTGGTATTAAGATCTGAATGGAAAGAAATTGGCTTAGACATCATCCCAGCAAAACTGAGTGGCTGCGGATTCAGAAGCCAACAGATTCTGGAAAGTAATGGGTAGCAAAATAGGATAGCAGGTTCTTAGTTTGGGTGGCCCCTTGGAATCGTGGCTTCTACTCAACAAACAGTTAGAAGCAGTGGCCAAAGAGAGATGTTGCATAACTTCATTTTGTGTGTGAGTTGCAATTGGATATGGAGCAAGAGTTCTCTCAGAACTATTGGAGCTACCTGAGCTGCTCTTAAGGACCATCTAACTGTGCAGCAATTAGAGTAATAATTAGACACAGTTTGGTTTGCCTATGTTAACATCTATTGCAGGTGTTACCCTGGTCTGCAGTCAGCTTCCAGATGCAATTTAGGATGTTGGTTAGCTTTAGGATTAGGGTTAGGAACTGGGCATATAGTTTTTAGACTGCTCACTCAGTATAGAATCTTGTCTGTCCAATAAGATCCAGGATTTACTAGTTCTAACTAATTCTGGATTGGGACTAGTTAACCTAAAAGGGGTCCCGAGGATAAGCTTTATTGAGGAGGGGCAGGCCTCCTTAGGAATAGCCTTACCTCTGGAGTTAAAGACAGCTCTATTCCCTATTCCAATGAGCATTGAAGTCTGGTTCCGAAGGGAATCCTGGAATGCTGATTTGTCCAAAGGGACATAGTGCCAGTTAGTGGAAGCAGGTTGAGAAGAGGAGTGAAGACTGCTCTCTTTTGTGTTTTTGAAATGAAATATTACACAAAGGAAATGTACGCTGCTCGGAGATGGTTTGACTGGAGTAATATAAATGCCTAGGTAATAAATATGCAGGTAATCCTCGACTTACAGCCATTCATTTAGCAACTGCTCAAAGTTATAATGGCACTGGGAAAAAAAGCAGTACTGAAAAAAGTGACTTATGACCTGTCCTCGCACTTACAATCATCTCAGCATTCCCATGATCAAAATTCAGGCACTTGGCAACAGGCATGCATTTTATGACAATTGCGGTGTCGGAGAGTCACGTGATCATTGTTTGTGATCTTCCCAGCTGGCTCCTGACAAGCAAAGTCAACGGGGGAAGTTGGATTTGTTTAAGATTCACTTAACTTCAGTGATTTGCTTAACAACTGCCTTGCTTAGCCATTTAAATTCTGGTCCCAATTGTGGTTGTAAGTTGAGGATAACTTGTGTTTTTTGTGTTTAGGGATGAGGCATTGGATAAGCTTTTAATCTCCTTGTAACCTTCTGGTTTTTTTTTTTTTTTTTTTGGTTTTTTTTATGATTATGTTGTCTGGTTTTCCACAAGTCGCTTTAGAAATTAATTTTGTATGTGCATTGATGGGAAAGCTGTCTTTCTAATCCGTGTAAACCCAGTCCAAACCCCAAGCGCTCTGTTTATCATCTTCAGTTTTCCAAATATGGCACTTTAAATTGACATTGATAATAGGGCTAGCTGTTCATATGCAGGGGGGTTCAGGGCAGGACCTAATCCTGCCATAACTTTTGCTTCCTATCCATAGGCAGTTAGCACGTGCGTGTTTGCTGGATTGATGCAAATAATGGCTGGTCTGCATAAAAATTCCAAGTCAAGCACTAGCACAAGTTACTTTTTAGATATGCAATGTGTACTTAACTCTTAAACATTTCTGCAAAGTTGGACAATTAGCTCGTGAACTACTTGCAGATATACTAATACATATTTATGAATAATACCTAAAGATCAGGAGTGAAATGCTACCAGTTCGGCACGGTTCAGCTGAACCAGTAGCGATGGCAGCGGGTGGTTCGGAGAACTGGTAGCGATGGCAGCACGAGGCTCCGCCCACCCGGTCATCACTTCCTGGTTTTAACCAGGAAGTAACCTGTTTTTTACCCTCTGCCCATGCGCCGAAGGTCCGTGCGCGCACGTCATGCGTGCAGGGTGTGTGTGCACTTCCGAACCGGTAGGGAAGGTAAGTAGATTTCACCCCTGCTAAAGATGAAATGCCACCGTCAGACAAAAAAATCAAACTGGATAACATGGGGCCCCCTCTGTTATCACTTCTCCATAGATATGCTGAGGTCTTGGTTTTGCTGATAATACTGAAGTTAGAACTCAGTAACCAGTGGGAATCTGAGGAGCAGACCATCGAGGTTTACAGATGGAGCTGGAGAGCTTTGGAAAACTAAACTAAATTGAAGAGCCACTTCTATAGGCGGTTTAAAAAAAAGTTGACAGAAAAGAAATGTTTGTCCGGTGTATTGCTAGTTCATATCCATATGAGAACT